GAGGTGATATAAAAAAGACTTGGAAAACATTATCTGAAATTCTAAGAACCAAAAAGATATACAAAAACAGAACAATCAAACTAACAAAACCTGACTGAAACAGCAAACAGACTCAATGTTTTCTTCTCCACCACAGAAAAAACCTAGTGAGCATAATCCCAACCTCAAACACCCTTCCAAAAGACTACTGACTGGCTCCTACCTGAATACACTATTCCTAGCTCTGACCAACCCAACAGAAGTCTCACTCATCATCAACACACTAAATACCAAGGCAGGAGATTTAAATACCTTACCACTTTTTATGTACAAAAAAACTTCTCAAGTACTGTCACCAATTATTGCAACTTGCCCGTGCTGCCGTGCCTCGTTGTGCTCCATGTTTTTTCGTGTTTTCACGGTCTCTGTTACGTGCTAGAACTTTAGTTTGTGCAATCGATCTTATACGATACATACCTCAAGTGCTTGGAACCAATCTTGGGCAGAAAATAGTTTATACTGAGTCATAAAGAAAGATTAGTGTGCACTACCTAGCAGAGTTTTACTCCCAGAGGGGAATAATAGGCCTGTGTGCCGTGTGCAAAATAATAATAGAACTTTTCTTAGTCAGAGGAAAGAAAATCTCCCTGATAATATTTTGTATACATAGTGTTATAGTGTATATTACAGTGGCACCCTAGTATATAGATAATAAATGCTAAAGTGCCTTTTAAAACAGGCGCAATTCAAACTGAAGTGATAGGCCTAAAGAGGCAGGTGCCAGAAGTCGCCAGAAACATACCACACAGGTCAGCTGTTTTAACCCTTTCAGGGTTTCGGGCACACTAGTACGGCTTACGCACCAGGGTTTTTGATGTACTAGTACGCCTAAATTCTAGCACCCTCAAATCTAGTGAGAGAAAGCTGGTAGGCCTACATATGAAAGAATGGATCTATGTGGTCAGTGTGCATGGTATAAAAAAAAATCCTGCAGCACACAGTGCGTAATGAGAAAAAAAAACTTTGACCGTGTTTTTGGAATAAAACAGCGACTTTGCACTGTATTTTCGTATGGTATTTATTGTTGTATTCTAGTTTTCTTGGTCTCATTTTATAGAATGGAATGCATATCACAGAAATTGAGATGATTTTAACTGGTTTTACAATGAAAAGTACCTTGAAATTGAGCTCAAAGTAGCAGAAATGTTCGATTTTTACCAAAGTTCAAAAGTAAACAAATCATGCCAAGCGTCCAATACACGTCAACTGGTGAGTCTAACATTCTTTTGCAAGTGTGCCAATATGATTTATACCATTTTTTACACTAATGCAGTAGTCTGCATAACAGTAAATCTTCTATTTTTCGTGAGAATAAAAATACAAAGTGGAAAGCAAAAGAATGTAAGAGGGGCCTTGAGATGTGACTAATGAACAGGAGAAATGTCATTTTAGTGCCAGGAATGTATTTCTTGTTTGTTCTGGACCCTATTCGGAAATTGGCATTTTTTGAAATTTGTGTGAAATTGGCAAAATTGCTAAATTCTGACCATTGTATTGGATAGTTGAAAATGGTAAATGGGTGGTTTCTTGCACTCATTCAATAGAAAAAATGTAGTTCTAGCGAAATATTCATGTTTTTTGTCGACTAGTACAGAGGAATTGGCCGAAAATGGGGCTCAAATTGGGCAAAATCGCCGATGCGTAAACATCGCCGAGACCGCTAACTTCGCAAGAGCATAATTCTGTAAGTTTTCCATCAAATCTCATAATTTTGGTGTCATTATGATCGGGAAAAGATTCTCTATCTTTTCATAAGAAAAAATTATTTTTTTTTTTTTAAATTTGGCCGACCCTGAGAACGAGTTTCTGAGAGGGCCTGTCGACCCTCAAAGGGTTAAAAGAACAAGGGAAGTAACCCCAGAAAAGGACTTGACACCTCAAGTCTTAATGGAAGGGGATTCCCCTTCTAAACACTAAGACTCTCTCCTCCTCCCATCCCATCAATCATCACCAGATCTTCAATAAAGGTAAGTGTCATGTAATTGTGCATGCCTTTTTCAGTTTGTGTGTATTAAAATTAATATTTCATGTGGTAAAAATTTTTTTTTTCATACTTTGGGGTGTCTTGCACGGATTAATTTGATTTCCATTATTTCTTATGGGGAAAATTCATTCGCATAACGATAATTTCGCATAACAATGAGCTCTCAGGAATGGATTAATGTCGTTATGCGGGGGTCCACTGTATGTTATGCATAGTGTTTATTATATAATTTTGAAGAAATATCATAGATGGATTAATGAAAATGTGTATATTAACGTAATATATGACATTTAAATAAGGCTCGGTGATTATTATTATCATTACTAATATGAAGTCTCGAGATATAAGACACTCTTACTGATTTTAATGTGTACCTGCACGCCACCACAGTGTAAGTTTATTTAGGTACAGGTATACATAAGTATAATTATCAGAATATATATAAAATATATATATTCTGCCTTGGTGGGAGATGGCCAACTTGTTAAAAAAAAAATATATATATATATATAAAATATGAAATAACTTTTAAAAACACTTGAAATTTTGGAGTTTCCAGACATAATGGAGAGACTTAGTGCTTACGAATCTCACAGAGAATGTAAACAAACCAGGTGGGGCACGGTGACCGTATTAGAAAGTCAGGTGGGGGGAGCTGTATAGCGAGTTTTGGTCATAATTTGAAATGACCGTATTAGTGGAACGCCGTAAAGCAAAATGCCATAAAGCGGGGCCCTACTGTATCTATACGTCAAACACAGTGGCTCGTAAGACGTATACATATGACCAAAACAGTCAAAGGGTTAATGTGACCTCAGACACTCACTTGACCCTAAGAGAGTTTTGGAAAGATCACTTCAGTATCCTACATTGCATAAGCCTTATAGGTAAGGCTTGGGACGGAGTGACTACCAGGACTTTGAACTCGGCTTGGAGAAAATTGTGGCCAGATTGTGTCCACAAGAGGGATTTTGAAGGGTTTGGGGCTGACTCTGATAAGCCTATGACAGTTGTGAAATCTATTGTGGCATTGGGGTTGGATGTGAGTTTGGAGAATGTGGAAGAGTTGGTGGAGGACCACAACGAAGAGCTAACCACTGAGGAGCTGCAAGAGCTTTAGCTGGAACAGAAACAGACTGCAGCTCAGAATACTGCTACAGAGGAGGAGGAAGAGAGATGGAAGAAGTTGCCTTCTTCAGAAATTAAGGAGATTTTTGAAATGTGGGGTAGGATGGAAAGATTTATGGAGAAACATCACCCTGACAAGGCTGTTGCAAGTTTTGTTGGCAACATGTACAGTGACAAAGTCTTGGCTCATTTTAGGGAAGTTTTAAAGAGACACCAGAAACAGAGCTCTCTGGACAGTTTTTTGCGAGACAGGACTCCAGTGACTCTCAAGTTGGTCCTAGTGGCATTAAGAAACAGAGAAGAGAAGTAACCCCAGAAAAGCACTTGGTACCTGAGGTGTTGATGGAAGGGGATTCCCCTTCCAAACAGTAACTAGTCCAATCTGTCTCCTCCTCCAGTCTTCCATACACTAAGAAGAATCACGAATAAAGGCAAGTGTTATGCTGTTAATGTTTCATTCATCATGTGCCATTGTATTGTTTGTGTACTACATCTATATTTCATGTAAAAATTTTTTTTGTTTTTATACTTCTGGGTGTCTGGAATGGATTAATTGTATTTACATTCTTTCTTATGGGGAAAATGGATTCAAAAATCGTCTATTTCGAAAATAGTCACACTTCCTGGATCGGATTAATTACGAAAACCGAGGGTCCACTGTATTATATTCTCCATTGTATCCTAAGTAATTTACACTACGTATAATTGTATTTATGTGCACCGAGAGAGAGAGAGAGAGAGAGAGAGAGAGAGAGATTGACAGCCACCCGGCCAGCCAGCCAGCCATGTTGTTTGCACAAACCCTCACTCCCTTCCCCACCAAAACATTGCTGGGACCTATAAATACTATGTATATTATTTCTATGTGACTAAAATAGGTGAAAATGTTCACCTGTCAATATTTGTGCAGTTATTGTGTAGTATACAACCAGTGTATACATCCAAAAGATGCCTTATAGCGGTCTCATGGGCCGTAAAAGATACTTGAAAAAATAAAATGCTAAAAAATAAAAGAAAAAAGTAGAAAAATAAACTATTACCGCATGACTGGCAGTCGGCAATGTTACCCTAAGCGGCTCACTTTCTGTCAATTTCATGCCTCCATATCTCAGTAAGTACTGATCACAAATATTTTTGGGGGGCCTATAAGACTCACAAAAATATGCTCTATCATTTCATAAGAATTTTTTTTTTTTTAATTTTTCGACCCTGAGAACAAGTTTGGGAGAGGGCCTGTCGATCCTGAAAGGGTTAAGCGTAAATGACGCAGCACCAAGTATTAAAACCTCAGTAGGTGTACAAATATATATATTATAATCTTTCATGGTATGTGTTTGTGTTTTGGTACGTGTGTGTGGGGGAGGGGTGGCATAATGCCGTGACTAGCACTGTAAGCTAAGCGTGCCATAAGAGGCAACTAAAATACTGGGACCAAGGGGCTACTAACTCCTTCTGTATATATTACTACATGTAAAAAGAAAACCCTCCATTTTTTCTTTTAAGGTTACCCTGCATTGGTGGGAGATGGCCCATTCATTAAAAAATATATACAGTGGACCCCCGCATAACGATATTATTTCAATCCAGAAGTCTGTTTGGGTGCCGTTATAGACCGAATTTGTTCCCATAAGAAATATTGTGAATTAGATTAGTCCATTTCAGACCCCTAAAAATACACCTACAAAAGCACTTACAAAAATAAACTTACATAATTGGTCGAGTTGGGAGCTGATCATTATCCAGGGGTCCACTGTACGTATATATAAAATCCTCGCTACTGTTAGATGAAGTGCAGCCCTTAATGAGTGTCATGCAGCATATGATAGGTTTCGAAGTTACATTAACTAACCTTTCTCTCGATGGTTTTTACCAGTAGATACTGGAAACTGTTGTTTAAGTGAGGCTAGCAGCTTCTCCTTCATTTGTGCCTGCTTCTTCATAGTCAGTTTTTTTTGAAAACGCGGAACCCATTTTTGTTTTTTCTTTGGTGGCATAGCAGCAATCTGCAAGAATTGAAGAATAATCATAATAATAATAATAATAATAATAATAATAATAATAATAATAATAATAATAATAATAATAATAATAATAAATAAAAAGGTACAATACCATGACTGGAATAATACACAGCTAACCTGGGTTATCTGTGAATAATAATACCAGAATTATTATTTTCATTGTTATTTAAAAAATACTCTAAGAATGTTAATAACAGTAATTAACAGCAACAATAATAAAAGTACATGAATAATGATGATGGCAAAAACTGTGATAATGAAAATAATAATAATGGTGATGATTAATGGTAATGATAATGGTAATGATAATGATACCAGTCATGAAAATGATGATGGTGACTGATTAATGACTGACAATTACAACAATAATGACAGTGCTGGTGTACAGTAATTATCTGCATTGTTACATTTTGTATTAATTAGAAGATAGTTATAATTTAGTCAAAGTAATGTTTGAAAAACCAAAGCTGTATCATGCTCGGCTGAAATGAAACTGAGAGCTTCACAACAAGGCTGGAGAAAATTGTATGATAATAACAATGTAGCCTTGCCACAGCCTGTTGCCCAGCTGAATGGGAACCCCAAGTACAGAGGTCCGACGGAAGTCAAAAGCGTCCTGATGAAGCCACTATGCTACTGTGGAAGGATGGTAAGCAGATTGCCAGGGACTATACCTGTGCCACCACATTGGCAGACACCTACTTGCCATACTCTGAAGCTGAAGTGGGTGGAGCCGCCAGCTACAGGGAGACCCAGAAGACCCGCAAATATGAAGGCCTTTCCCCTTGCTATAACTTTTTCCCAGTAGGGTTGGAGACCCTTGGAGCACGGGGCAAGTTCCTCGAAGAGCTGAGTGAGAAACTCATCACAGAAACCAAGGATCACAGAGTGGCCAGCTTCCTCTTTCAGAGACTCAGTATTGTGATCCAGAGGGGAAATGCCTGCAGCATTCTGGGCACACGGCCCACTGCCGGGGAGCTGGATGAAGTACAGTGGACCCTTGGCTAACAATATTAATCCGTTCCTGAGGGCTCATCGTTAGACAAAATTATCGTTAGCCGAATTAATTTTCCCCATAAGAAATAATGGAAATCCAATTAACCATTTCAGGGTTTCCGACGTACTAGTACGGCTTACGCACCAGGGTCATTGACGTACTAGAACGCCTAAATTCTAGCGCCTTCAAATCTAGTGAGAGAAAGCTGGTAGGCCTACATATGAAAGAATGGGTCTATGTGGTCAGTGTGCACAGTATAAAAAAAATCCTGCAGCACACAGTGCATAATGAGAAAAAAAAAACTCTGACCGTGTTTTTGGTTTAAAACGACTTTGCACTGTATTTTTGTATAGTATTTATGGTTGTATTCTAGTTTTGCTGGTCTCATTTCATAGAATGGAAGACATATTTATTTATTTATTAATTTGCAGCATGCCAAAGCCCCTTGTATGCAGAGCATTGTGGGCAGGCTTAAAATTAACTTAAGATTAACTAAGCAATGATATATTCATTGGTACAAAAATTATTGTAAAATAGTTAACAATTTAGTACAAATGAGTATTACAAAGACAGGTCATATGGTCATTTACTGTGTTGCTGTGTAATCAGTAGAATGGAGTATTCTGTTAGGTAATGAAGTTAAATAGTAACAAAGTTTGATTGGGTCACAGGTTGACATTTATGAGATACAATAATGAGATACAATAATGAGATACATATATGAGATACATATATGAGATACAATTTATGAGATACAATTATTCAGTATTTATTTAGTTGTGGGTGAGTAAGTGATTTTTGAGAAGAGACTTGAATTTATAAACAGTGTGTTTCTTTTATATTCACAGGTAATGAATTCCAGATTTTAGGTCCTTTTATGTGCATTGAGTTTTTGCAAAGCGTGAGATGGACACGAGGAACATCAAAGAGTGATCTGTGCCTTGTGTTATGGTCATGTGTTCTGTTAAGGTTGGTAAGGAGATGTTTGAGGGGAGGGTTTATTGAGATGATTTTGATTGGTTTCATAATGAAAAGTACCTTGAAATTGAGCTCAAAGTAGCAGAAATGTTCGATTTTTACCAAATTTCAAAAGTAAACAAATCATGCCAAGCATCCAATACACATCAACTGGTGAGTCTAATATTCTTTCACAAGTGTGCTGATATTATTTATACCATTTCTACACCATTTCTACACTAATGAAGTAATCTGCATAAGAGTAAATCTTCTATTTTTTGTGAGAATAAAAATTCAAAGTGGAAAGCAAAAGAGATGTAAGAGGGGCCTGGGGACATGACTAATGAACAGAGAAAATGTTATTTTAGTGCCAGGATTGTCTGTCTTGCTTATTCTGGAAATTGGAATCTTCTGAAATTTGTGTGAAACTGGCAAAATTGCCAATTTCTGACCACTTTATTGGATACTTGAAATCAGTAAATGGGTGGTTTCTTGTACTCATTCGATAGAAAAAAATGTAGTTCTAGTGAAATAGATATGATTTTTGTCGACTAGTACACTGAAATTGGCTGAAAATAAGGCTCAAAGTGGGTGAAATCGCTGATGCGTAAACAACGTCGAGACCGCTAACTTTGCGAGAGCATAATTCCGTAAGTTTTTCATCAAATTTCATACTTTTGGTGTCATTATGATCGGGAAAAGATTCTCTATCATTTCACAAGAAAAAACAATTTTTTTTTTTCTGAAAAATTTTTGACCCTGAGAACGAGTTTAGGAGAGGGCCTCTCGACCCTGAAAGGGTTAATCCATTCCAGACAGCCAAAAGTATTAAAAAAACTTTTTTTTTTTTCATGAGATATACATTTCCCTACAAAGAAAACAATGAAACATGCACAATATATAAATAAATGTTAAAATGACACTTACCTTTATTGAAGAGTATTGATGAGTGATGAGACATTGTTTTTCTTGAACACTCTGGGATATTCAGTGATACATGAGTACATGCTTCACTTTGCAATCCCCACTAGCATTACAACAAAACAAAAAAGTTAACCTGTCTTTCATAGGCTTGTGTCCTGGCAGTGCCTTTTCCTCCTGAGTAATGTAGGTCCTGTTTGGCATTTTCTTCCAGAACAGGCTTGTTTCGTCACAATTGAACACTTGTTGGGGTTGGAATTTTTCAGCTTTGCCATGCCTTATCACACTGTGTATGCCACTATGATTCTTAAATCTCTCAAACCAACCTTTGCTGGCCTTAAATTCACCAATATGAGCACTAATTCCAGGCATTTTTTTCCTGTTCACCTGGGTGTTAGTCGACTGCTGTGGGTCGCATCCTGGAGGACAAGATTACGGACCCCAATGGAAATAAGTTAGACAGTCCTCGATGACTCACTAACTTTCTTGGGTTATCCTGGGTGGCTAACCCTCTGGGGTTAACTGTTTCTCGATAATTGTTTCTCATTAAGCCACACCAACAACAGTCTCTCCTCATCTTCGAGTAGCAACAGCTGACGGTGGTGCAGCAGCAGTTGGCCATGGTACGATAGTATTTCGGTAGTATTTCTCACCCTTTTTACCACAGGGTTGGCACTATTTAGCAGTTACAAGCACTATAAACAATGGAATAATACAAAATGTATCAAATGTATGCATGAAACCGGCCACCCTGGCTTGTAAACAATGATGGCAGGGCAGCTGAGGTGCTCAGGCTGGACGGACAGGTTCAGGACGAATCACATTGGGTGAATTTTTTATCATTAGGCGGGCCAAAATTTTTACGCTCAAACGCTTCGTTAGGCGGATTAAACGTTATGCAATGCGTTCGTTAGCCAAGGGTCCACTGTAACAATGAACACTTCCAACTCAGATCACTGTTTACCTCGCTGTGGGAGTAGTTCTCTCATGCTTTGCTTACATTTTTGACAGTCATTTGGCCAAATTTCATTTTTCTAAGCATGGGTCCTAAGAAAATAAGTGTAAAGGACAATGCTGAGACATAAGAGAGGATGATTTCCATGGAATTAAAGCATGAAATCATAGATAAACAAGCGAGGTGTCCAGGTTTTGTGTTGATGGGGAAGCAGGGGGAGCTGTCTCGTAACTCGAAGCAAAAAATCGACCCAGGGATGGCTCGTATCTCAAAAAACTCCTAAGTTGGGACACTTGTAAGTCAAGGTTCCACTGTATGTGGATAGAGACAGGGCCTATGAACTCAAACATAGAAGTGTCTGGATTGCGCACCATGGAAATAAGTCACTGTGCCTGACATTTTTTGGGTTATCCTAGGTAATTTACACTACATATGATAATTGTACTTACTATGTGTACATGTGCCTAAATAAACTTACTTACAGCCAGATCCAGACAGACACAGGGCCACACACTATTACATTACATCTTAGTGTCCAAACATCCAACATTTCAGAGACACCTTCACGCAAATCTTACAAGATATGACAAAACACTTCATTGTTAATAATAGGATATCTGAAATTTTGAGACAGTATCCACATTTTGTACCAACATGATGACTGAAATTATATTTGATGAGACTCCAATTCAATAATGATCAATGTGTAAGTGGTAATAAGAACTTAAAAATTATGTTGAGATTGAATCTCCATATTGTGCAGATGAACTATATGAAGTTATTGTAATATACAGCCTCTTCTCACTTAGAGACGTACGTGTACTCGTTTATTGATGATTCGGACTTACGACGGGTTCTCTGACCAGTATGCATACCTAAATAATGTGAATTAGAGCTGATTTCCTCTGTTCTGTTTATTACAATATACAGTACACTACTGTATAAACATTCAAAAACATACCAGAAATGTTATAAATGGTGCAAAGGTGACATTAAAACAATATCAAAGATGGTTGACACAAACCCATTATAGTATGCTCCTCACTTAACGACGAATTCATTTACTGACGAGGTCTCAGGAACGGAACTCCGCTGTTAAGTGAGGAGAGGCTGTATAAAGTAACTAATGTTTGAAATGATGTAACAAAGCCCAGTAGGGTCTAATACCGACCCAATGTTACCTCTGTAATCAATTTTCTTTTCTGTTCTACAGCTCATAGGATGAGTCAAGACTGAAGAGTAAATTAATTAATCAAGCAGCAAAAATAATGGAAACCAAGGACCACAATGGAAGTCATTCTGAAATTTTTGGGTTATCTTAGGTAAATTACATTATGTATGATAATCATAGTAACAAGTTAGGTCACAAAAAATAAAGTCAGCCTACCGCATTCTTGTACTTTCATCAAGTCCAGGTCAGGTCAGTTAGTTACAAGATATAAGTGTTGTGACAGACATGAACATCCATGTCAGACAGGTCAGGTCAGGTCGTACGAGAGCAGGAGAGGTAATATAAGATCAGGTCAGGTTGTACTAGGTCAGATCTGATCATCCTTCAGGCAATATGTGGTAATGTACGATTATGACCTTCTGTATACCAGTAGCAAGGTTATGAAGCACCATCACACTACCAGCAAGGTTATGAAGCACCACTATACATACCACACAGGTTATGAAGCACCACTATACATACCATGCAGGTTATGAAGCACCACCACACACCACACAGGTTATGAAGTGACACTACACACAATACAAAGGTTACGAAGCACCACCACACACCACACAGGATATGAAGCGCCACTACACACAATACAAAGGTTATGAAGCACCACTATACATACCACACAGGTTATGAAGCACCACTATACATACTATGCAGGTTATGAAGCACCACCACACACCACACAGGATATGAAGTGCCACTACACACAATACAAAGGTTATGAAGCACCACCACATACCACACAGGTTATAAAGCACCACTACACAGGTTATGAAGCACCATTACACACACCACAGAGGTTATGAAGCACCACTACACAGGTTATGAAGCACCATTACACACCAAACAGGTTATGAAGCACCACTACACAGGTTATGAAGCGCCACCACATACCACACAGGTTATGAAGCACCACTACACAGGTTATGAAGCACCACTACACAGGTTATGAAGCACCACTACACAGGTTATGAAGCACCACTACACAGGTTATGAAGCACCATTACACACATCACACAGGTTATGAAGCACCATTACACACACCACACAGGTTATGAAGCACCATTACACAGGTTATGAAGTACCACTACACAGGTTATGAAGCACCATTACACACACCACACAGATCATGAAGCACCATTACACACACCACACAGGTTATGAAGCACCATTACACACACCACACAGGTTATGAAGCACCATTACACACACCACACAGGTTATGAAGCACCATTACACACACCACACAGGTTATGAAGCACCATTACACACACCACACAGGTTATGAAGCACAACTTACACACACTACACAGGTTGTGAAGCACCATTACACACACCACACAGGTTGTGAAGCACCATTACACACACCACACAGGTTATGAAGCACCATTACACACACCACACAGGTTATGAAGCACAACTACACACACTACACAGGTTGTGAAGCACCATTACACACACCACACAGGTTATGAAGCACCATTACACACACCACACAGGTTATGAAGCACCACTACACAGGTTATGAAGCACCATTACACACACCACACAGGTTATGAAGCACCATTACACACACCACACAGGTTATGAAGCACCATTACACACACCACACAGGTTATGAAGCACCATTACACACACCACACAGGTCATGAAGCACCACTACACAGGTTATGAAGCACCATTACGCAAAAAGGTCAATATATCTGAAATGCGTAGGGAGACACTGGTCAGAGAAATAGCAAGCATCGAACTTAAGCTAAAACAATCCTTTAGGAGACAGGAATCGCGGGAAGAACTAAAAGCCATAAATGAAATCGAAAGAAACCCAAAGTATTTCTTCTCCTATGCCAAATCAAAGTCGAGAACAACGTCCAGTATTAGGCCCCTACTTAAACAAGATGGGTCCTACACAGATGACAGCAAGGAAATGAGTGAGCTACTCAAGTCCCAATATTACTCAGTTTTTAGCAAGCCGCTAACCAGACTGAGAGTCGAAGACCAAAATGAATTTTTTATGAGAGAGCCACAGAATTTGGTTAACACAAGCCTATCCGATGTTATCCTGACGCCAAATGACTTCAAACAGGCGATAAATGACATGCCCATGCACTCTGCCCCAGGGCCAGACTCATGGAGCTCCGTGTTCATCAAGAACTGCAAGAAGCCCCTATTACGAGCCTTTTCCATCCTATGGAGAGGGAGCATGGACATGGGGGTCGTCCCACAGTTACTAAAAACAACAGACATAGCCCCCTCCACAAAGGGGGCAGTAAAGCAATAGCAAAGAACTACAGACCGATAGCACTAACATCCCATATCATAAAAATCTTTGAAAGGGTCCTAAGAAGCAAGATCACCACCCATCTAGAAACCCATCAGTTACACAACCCAGGGCAACATGGGTTTAGAACAGGTCGCTCCTGTCTGTCTCAACTATTGGATCACTACGACAAGGTCCTAGATGCACTAGAAGACAAAAAGAATGCAGATGTAATATACACGACTTTGCAAAAGCCTTCGACAAGTGTGACATGGCGTAATAGCGCACAAAATGCGTGCTAAAGGAATAACAGGAAAAGTCGGTCGATGGATCTATAATTTCCTCACTAACAGAACACAGAGAGTAGTCGTCAACAGAGTAAAGTCCGAGGCAGCTACGGTGAAAAGCTCTGTTCCACAAGGCACAGTACTAGCTCCCATCTTGTTCCTCATCCTTATATCCGACATAGACAAGGATATCAGCCACAGCACGTGTCTTCCTTTGCAGATGACACCGAATCTGCATGACAGTGTCTTCCATTGCAGACACTGCAAGGTTCCAGGCGGACATCAACCAAATCTTTCAGTGGGCTGCAGAAAACAATATGAAGTTCAACAATGAGAAATTTCAATTACTCAGATATGGTAAACACGAGGAAATTAAATCTTCATCAGAGTACAAAACAAATTCTGGCCACAAAACAGAGCGAAACACCAACGTCAAAGACCTGGGAGTGATCATGTCGGAGGATCTCACCTTCAAGGACCGTAACATTGTATCAATCGCATCTGCTAGAAAAATGAAAGGATGGATAATGAGAACCTTCAAAACTAGGGATGCCAAGCCCATGATGACACTCTTCAGGTCACTTGTTCTATCTAGGCTGGAATATTGCTGCACACTAACAGCACCTTTCAAGGCAGGTGAAATTGTTGACCTAGAAAATGTACAGAGAACCTTCACGGCGCGCATAATGGAGATAAAACACCTCAATTACTGGGAGCGCTTGAGGTTCCTGAATCTGTATTCCCTGGAACGCAGGTGGGAGAGATACATGATTATATACACCTGGAAAATCCTAGAAGGACTAGTACCGAACTTGCACACGAAAATCACTCACTACGAAAGCAAAAGACTTGGCAGACGATGCAACATCCCCCCATTGAAAAGCAGGGGTGTCACTAGCACGTTAAGAGACCATACAATAAGTGTCAGGGGCCCGAGACTGTTCAACTGCCTCCCAGCATACATAAGGGGGATTACCAACAGACCCCTGGCAGTCTTCAAGCTATCACTGGACAAGCACCTAAAGTCGGTTCCTGACCAGCCGGGCTGTGGCTCAAACGTTGGTTTGCATGCAGCCAGCAGCAACAGCCTGGTTGATCAGGCTCTGATCCACCAGGAGGCCTGGTCACAGACCGGGCCGTGGGGGCGTTGACCCCCGGAACTCTCTCCAGGTAAACTCCAGGTAAACATCACACAGGTTATGAAGCACCATTACACACACCACACAGGTCATGAAGCACCACTACACAGGTTATGAAGCACCCTTACACACCACAGAGGTTATGAAGCACCACTACACACGCCACACAGGTCATGAAGCACCATTACATACACCACACAGGTCATGAAGCACCATTACATACACCCAGTACCAACAATACCACCAGTCCGATGACATTCTTCTTTGCAAATATACAGGGTCTAAAGCCAGCAACAAACAACAAAATACCTTTCATCCATGGACTCCTTGCAGAGGCAAAGGCAATGTTCGCGGCTTTCACTGAGACCCACATAAAGGATCACTTGGACAACGAAATATGGATCCCAGGTTACAACCTATACAGATGTGACAGAGTGAACAGGCAAAAGGGGGGGGGGGGTTGTTGGCCTGTACATTGCAGAGTCACTTTTTTGCACAGAACTGCTTAATGCCTCAAATGATGTAGAGGAAGTTTTAGCAGTAAAGATCGAGAACCAAAACCTTGTCATTGTGGTAGTCTACAAGCCTCCGGATGCAACATCCCAGCAATTCCAGGAACAGCTGTTAAAAATTGACCACTGTCTGGAAAATCTTCCAGCTCCTGCACCCAACATCTTGCTCCTGGGGGATTTCAACTTAAGGCACCTAAAATGGAGGAATATAGCAAATAATATTGTTGCAGTAATAACACCAGGAGGCAGCTCTGATGAAAACTCACACTCACACAAGCTTTTAAATCTCTACACAAAATTCAATTTAAACCAGCAAATAATAGAGCCTACTAGACTGGAGAATACACTAGACCTCATCTTCACTAACAATGATGATCTGATAAGAAATGTCACCATATCAAAAACAATATACTCAGATCACAACAAAATTGAGGTTCAGGCATGTATGCGTGGAGCCCCAGACCGACATAATGAGATTAGTCACGAGGGAGCATTCACCAAATTCTACTTCAATAACAAAAACATAAAGTGGGACCAAGTAAACCAAGTCCTAACCGATATAAGCTGGGAAGATATACTAAGCAACACAGACCCCAACTTATGCCTAGAACAGATTAACTCGGTGGCACTCAATGTATGCACAAGGCTTATTCCTCTAAGAAAAAGGAGGAGTAGATGTAAAATAGAAAGAGACAGGCGCTCCCTTTACAGGCGACGGAAAAGAATAACAGAGCGGCTAAAAGAGGTCAATATATCTGAAATGCGTAGGGAGACACTGGTCAGAGAAATAGCAAGCATCGAACTTAAGCTAAAGGAATCTTATAGGAGTCACCAATCGCGGGAAGAACTAAAAGCCATAAATGAAATCGAAAGAAACCCAAAGTATTTCTTCTCCTATGCCAAATCTAAGTCGAGAACAACGTCCAGTATTGGGCCCCTACTTAACCCTTTGAGGGTCGACAGGCCCTCTCCGAAACTCGTTCTCAGGGTCGACCAAATTTAAAAAAAAAAAAAAATTATTTTCTCTTATGAAAAGATAGAGAATCTTTTCCCGATCATAACAACACCAAAAGTTTGAAATTTGATAGAAAACTTACGGAATTATGCTCTCGCAAAGTTAGCGGTCTCGGCGATGTTTACGGATCGGCGATTTTGCCCACTTTGAGCCCCATTTTCGGCCAATTTCACTGTACTAGTCGACAAAAAACATGAATATTTCGCTAGAACTCCATTTTTTCTATCGAATGGGTGCAAGAAACCACCCATTTATAAATTCAACTATCCAGTACAGTGGTCAGAATTTAGCAATTTTGCCAATTTCACACAAATTTCAAAAGATGCCAATTTCGGAATAGGGTCCAGAATAAACAAGAAAGACATTCCTGGCACTAAAATGACATTTCCTCTAGTCATTAGTCACGTCTCAAGGCCCCTCTTATATTCTTTGCTTTCCACTTTGAATTTTTATTCTCACAAAAAATATAAGATTTACTGTTATGCAGACTACTGCATTAGTGTAAAAAATGGTATACATATTATTGGTGCACTTGTGAAAGAATATTAGACTCACCAGTTGACGTGTATTGCACGCTTGGCACGATTTGTTTACTTTTGAAGTTTGGTAAAAATCGAACATTTCTGCTACTTTGAGCTCAATTTCAAGGCACCTTTCATTGTAAAACCAGTCAAAATCATCTCAATTTCAGTAATATGTCTTCCATTCTATAAAATGAGACCAAGAAAACTAGAATACAACAATAAATACTATACGAAAATACACTGCAAAGTCGCTGATTTATTAAAAAAAAATGGAAAAAGTTTTTTTTTTCTCATTATGCACCGTGTGCTGCAGGATTTTTTTTAGACTGTGCACACTGACCACATAGACCCATTCTTTCATATGAAGGCCTACCAGCTTTCTCCCACTAGATTTGAGGTCGCTAGAATTTATGAGTACTAGTACGTCAAAAACCCCTACGCGTAAGACGTACTAGTACGACGAAAACCCTCAAAGGGTTATACAAGATGGGTCCTACACAGATGACAGCAAGGAAATAATTGAGCTACTCAAGTCCCAATATTACTCAGTTTTTAGCAAGCCGCTAACCAGACTGAGAGTCGAAGATCAAAATGAATTTTTTATGAGAGAGCCACAAAATTTGGTTAACACAAGCCTATCCGATGTTATCCTGACAACAAATGACTTCGAGCAGGCGATAAATGGCATGCCCATGCACTCTGCCCCAGGGCCAGACTCATGGAACTTCATGTTCATCAAGAACTGCAAGAAGCCCCTATCACTAGCCTTTTCCATCCTATGGAGAGGGAGCATGGACACGGGGGTCGTCCAACAGTTACTAAAAACAGACATACCCCACTCCACAAAGGGGGCAGAAAAAGAACACCCAAAGAACTAAAAGATTTAAACCACAAACCCTTCCCATATCAAAAAAATCTTTGAAAGGGTCCCAAAAGAA